GATGTTCTTATCTTGTACCAAAAGAAGGAGATGTATCTTTTGATCAATAAAGAACAATTCTCTTGAAGCTTGAGCATTTTCATCTTTGAGCTATAAAATCAACATTGACTGTTGATTCAACATTTGTAAAGCAAATTCAATCAAGCATGACCTCTGATCCTCTTGTTCAGGATATCAAGGATACTTCCTCTAAGTCTCATGATACTTCCAAGTTTAAACTCAAGAATAATCTATTATATTTCAAATGATGCCTATATGTTTTAGAAGGTGAAGCTCGATTACGTATTCTTCAAGCTCGTCATGACTTTCCAATATCAAGATATTTTGGATACAATAAAACTTTGGAATTAATATCTAGGGATTTTTGGTGGCCGCAAATGTGGAAGCCAGTCAAAGATTTTGTATAATCTTGTGATGTTTGCTCAAGATCAAAAACTCCTCATCATCGATCTTATTGACTTCTTCAACCGTTATCCATTCCAGAACAACCATGGTCTTTTGTTTCTATGGATTTCATCACGGATCTTCCAATCTCAAGTTCTTATGACTCTATATTTGTGATAGTAGATTATTTTACCAAGATGGCATATTTTGTATCATGTACAAAATCTATCATAGGTGAAGAAACAGCTAAACATTTCATTGACAATATCTATCGCTATCATGGATTACCAAAGGATATTATATCGAATAGGGGGACTCAATTTGTATCAAGATTTTGGAGAACCCTATTCAAGATTTTAAAGGTGGATATAAAGCTTTCTTCAACTTTTCATCCTCAAACTAATGAAAAAATAAAATGGGTAAATCAAGTTTTGGAGCAGTATTTGAGATGTACCATCAACTATCATCATGATGATTAGACAACTCTTTTACCATTGGTAGAGTTTGCATATAATAATTTGGTACATTCTTCTACTCAAAAAACACCTTTCTTTGTCAATTATGGTTATCATCCATATCTTGATACTTTTGACTTTTCAAAAGTTGATAATTCTACAATAGAAGATTTAGCAATTCGCTTGTCAGAACTACATACAACAATAAAGATACAATTAAAGAAAGCTCAAGAATGTCAAAAGACCAATATGGATGCCTATCGCAAGAAGCAACCACAATATAATATGGATAACAAGGTATAGTTACTTTGTCGTAATATCAAGACTACTTGTCTTTGTGATAAATTAGATTATCATAGGTAGAGATCTTTTCCTATTTGTGAACAAATCAATCCTATTGCCTATCAATTACATCTATTAGAGTCTATAAAGATCCACCTTATATTTCATGTATCACTTCTAGAGCTGAATAAGACAGTGAAAATCTTGGGAAGAAGACAAATGATATGTCCTTCTATAGAAGTGGATAATAACTAAGAGTTTGAGGTAGAAGAAGTCTTAGACTCAAGGTGGCGCCGAAATAGGTTAGAATATCTTGTTCATTGGCACAGATATGATATTAGTGAATGCACATGGGAGCCATCAAAGAATCTTACAAATGCAGCAAAGAATGTTGAAGACTTTCATCAACGACATCCATCAAAACCAAGATGAAGAATAACAAACCTTTGTTATAAAAGAAACAAGATCAAAGGAAAATAACATTCTACCTTCTATCTTTCATTGTAGCTTTTGTGTATTTGTAATGAGATGGAGTACCAACAACTAGCAGATTCAACTCAAGAGCTTTCATTTGGGGACTTACCGGATGAGATATTGAGATTGTCACAACCTTCAAGATGACAAAATTGAGATGAAGATCATCAAGAATGACATGTCCTTCCTCAAACAGATGGCGAGATACAATGTATTTGGTATCGCGACCTTGGAAGAGACTCCCGATGTTTAGTGATTTTATTAGAGGTAAGAACAACTCTTGATGGTATTCAAAAGGTTTTATTTGAAGGCAGTTATGAAGGCCTTAACAATGACCAAATAACAGGGTGGTCTTCTTGCCCTGATATGAGACACTATAGATGGTTGAGAGGACCTATCAACCATCTTCAAAGAGAGCAAAGATTGGAGTATGTAGCAAATACAATTTGCCTCATCTTGGAATTCTACAATATATGAAGACTGCTCTTTATGAAACTCGTCCCTAGAAGGGAAGATAATGTCATGGACATATATATTTATTTCAATAGTTACTTATATGATTGAGTAGAAATAGGTAAATATAAAATAATTTCATAAAGTCTTTTAAAAAAGCTTCATAGATGCGGTTTTGACTTTAGATGTGTTTGTAGGTTAGAAACTTGGCCAAAAAGCTAACCATGTATTGGTAGCTTGTGGAACAAGTTATCTCCATGTAGTAGCTTGTGGAACAAGCCATCTACGTAGCGTATACATAGATAACTTGCCTTGCAAGATAAGACATGTAGCTAGCAAAGTCAATACATGTTGGAGGTCTTATAGGACATCGCCACGTAGCTCTTAGTTAGATAATATATATGGAAGCAAGAGTGAAGCCTTCTTCACTCTTGTCAACGCCTTTTTAGTCTTAGTCTTGTTTCAAGACTTTCTAGTCTTTCTTGTTTTTGGCAATAGCCATTCTAGTTAATATTACATCACCTTTTGAGTGACTTTCTAGTTCTCTTCAGTGATAGAAGAGTGTATTGAGGATTCTCTTTTCTCAAGATTCATGTCCTTGACAATAGTCTAACACTCGCTTTGATACCAATGAAATAGGACCAAACTATTTTAAAATCCAAAACCTTTATAATCCATAACAACATAAAACCTCATCACAAAATAAGACAAAATAGACCAAACAAAATTGAATAAAACCAAACAGAATAGGACTTAAAAGACAAAATTGAGTAAATGGAAACAAAATAGAATAGAATAGAACTAAATTGAATAGAAAGATGCAAAACCAAATTTTATTTAGAAAAAAGGATCTGCAATCATACATGATCAAATGCCCTAAAAGATCTTAATCAGTCTTAATTATATCTTGTTCTACCATCTTGAACTTTCTAGAATATTCTTAGGTGGTGGATCCCACATAAATAATCACCTTAAATTTCTTTTTTAGAAGGTTCTATAGTAGCTCCCACCTAAATAATTGTCCTAAGTTTTTTTTCTAGAAGATTCTATGGTAGGCCCTACCTATATAACTACCCTAAATTCTTTCTAGAATGTTTCACAGTGGATCCTACTTGATCCACTAACCTGATCTCAATTCTAGAAACTTCCATGGTTCTAATTATCTATCCTTATACAAATATCTTATCTGTATCCTATTACATCTAATGTCTACACCAAGAAGTAAGTCAATTAAGAGAAGATAGTAAATCAACTTCACAATAAAATCTAAAAAAACTACCTATTACAAATAAAAGAGGAAAAAAAATAATCATATCAAAGAAGTTCAATAACACAATATTAAAATTTTTAGAATATTTATAATACATCCAACTTTATTAAAGATTACACTCTTTCAAAATTCCTAAAAGATTTATTCAAGTTTAAAAAATTAAGCCACTCCTATTTAGAAGCATTTTTGCTAGATTTGTACTTTTGGTGGAAAAAGAAAAAAATATCCTTTATAATCAAAAATCATTTTTTGAAGTATTTAGTCCATATTTAAATAATATGATTGAAAAATAGTAGAAGAAACAAAATTCTTATCTTTACAACAAAAAAATACAATCATCACAACTAATACACTACCAACTAACTCTTGATGATTTATTTTATATTAACAAAATAATTTTAATTCTTAATCTTACTTTTATTGAATTTTAGACTAATTGGTTCCATCAAATTGCCAAAAATATAAAAAAACAATATCTAATACATGCAATTCTTCATGAAAACATACCCTATTATAATAAAGTGTATAATATAATGAATTAATAATTAATTACAAAATATCAAGGCATATGTCTTACTTTACTTTAAGTCTTGATTTGTGAAATGATAATTCTTCGAAAGCATTTGTTCACAAAAATAAATGTATTAGACTTCAAATTAAGTGTAAAGTTATCACAATTGGACATAAATGATAAACTTCATCATGTTCCTTTTTTGTTCAAGACAATTCTTAATATCCAAGCTTAACAAGAAAATCCAAAACAAATAAATAAATAAAACTTTTTGCTATTATAAATTCAATCCAAGAATGGCAACATTATGTAGAAAACGCTTTTAATCCAATCCCAACTTCCAATGATCCAAAAAAGAAAAGTTGTGGACAAGTGCCATTGTTTTTGGAACAATTTCAGCAACAGTATTCTAAAAATGAATTATGAAAAGGGTAGTCACTGACTGCAGTAACAATACTCGAACAAATTGATTTGCATCACATGAACGAGGGGAGACAACCTCTGCGTGTTCCGCCCTTGCTGGTGGTGCTCCCCTCTCCACAAGGTCGCCAAAGTCCCTCGGCAAAATTCCACGTCGTAATATGTACCATAAAGGACGCTGCCTAAAAGTCCAAAAAGCCCCCAACAACGGCAGCCCGAATATAGATGAACACAACCAGGAGCTGCTGCTACATTGCTCGTGCTTGAGAACTACTAACTTACTGCTCGCGGGGAGCCCACAACCCCCTCCCATCCAAACAAGAATGGACAGACCCTGCTCACTGGATTCGTATCATTAAAGGCCGCGCAATAAACAGAAACAACAACATCGCAGCGGCGACGGGATGGAAGAGAGGTAGGATGGCGGGGAGCATTCAGTGTAACTGGAAGACGGGGGCGGGGCCACTGGGACGATGGCCAGCCCGCGCAGCAACAGCAACAGGTCCGCGGCACATCCGACGGCGATGTCAGCAGTGCGCGGGAATCAACACTGGCACGCATTTGGAATTCGGCACGCAGTGGAACCCGCTCCCAAGGGGCACTCAGCGCTGCCCTGGCGCCTCTGGGCACCGTGGGATGGGCGATCGGACGGACGGCGGGGGCACATGGAATGACATTGGCGGAAAGCCCTAATCCGGAGGGAGCGGGGGGGTTGTTTATCACTTTCGCTCGCGCACCCCCGACCCGCAGTGCGTTTCATCCCCCCCCCCCCCCTGTTCCCAGGGGATGATGATGCCATTGCCCTTTTCTTCTTCATCTTCATCTCCTCCTCCACTCGGGTTTGATCCCCTCCCCCTCAGTCGCTCCCCACCATCTCGGTGTGCGATCGGCGCATCTCTCCGCTGCTCTTCTCGTGATTGTCTAGACGCGCGTGTACCTGGGGTGGTCCGAGTAGTGGGCATCGAGCAGTGAGTCGATCAAGATGAGAGAGATCCTGCACATTCAGGGAGGACAGTGCGGGAACCAGATCGGAGCCAAGTTCTGGGAGGTGGTGTGCGAGGAGCATGGCATCGACCCGACGGGGACGTACCAGGGCGTGTCGGATTTGCAGCTGGAGCGGATCAATGTGTACTACAACGAGGCGAGCGGAGGTCGGTACGTGCCCCGCGGAGTGCTGATGGATTTGGAGCCTGGGACGATGGACAGCGTGCGGTCGGGCCCGTATGGGCAGATATTCCGGCCGGACAACTTTGTGTTTGGGCAGACGGGAGCGGGGAACAACTGGGCGAAGGGGCATTACACGGAGGGAGCGGAGTTGATCGACTCGGTGTTGGATGTGGTGCGGAAGGAGGCTGAGAGCTGCGACTGCTTGCAAGGTACGGGTGGATTAGTGTGTCGGCGTTGATGGAGGAGGGGAGATGGGCAGTGGGTGAGGTTGGGAGGGAAACGGCGAGTAGAAACGCATAGATGGGAAGGGTGTGTTTGTTTGTGTGGGTGCTGATGCGGTGGGGGATGTGGGTGTGCAGGTTTCCAGGTGTGCCACAGTTTGGGAGGAGGGACAGGATCGGGAATGGGGACACTGTTGATATCGAAGATCCGCGAGGAGTACCCGGACAGGATGATGCTGACGTTTTCGGTGTTCCCGTCGCCGAAGGTGTCGGACACGGTGGTGGAGCCATACAACGCAACGCTGTCGGTGCATCAGCTGGTGGAGAATGCGGACGAGTGCATGGTGTTGGATAACGAGGCGCTGTACGACATCTGTTTCAGGACTTTGAAGCTGATCACCCCGTCTTGTAAGTGGCGATCGTTTTGGTGGTCTTGCGGTCGGGGAGAGAGGGGCGAAGACAGGGTTGGGAGTATAGGTGGAGCGGGGTTGTACATTGTGAGCACATTGGTGATGGTTTTACTGAACGAGGGGGGGGGGTGTGTTTTGCAGTCGGGGACTTGAACCACTTGATCTCTGCGACGATGAGCGGCATTACGTGCTGCCTGCGTTTCCCGGGTCAGCTGAACTCGGATCTTCGGAAGTTGGCGGTGAACCTGATTCCGTTTCCGCGGCTGCACTTTTTCATGGTGGGATTCGCGCCGCTGACGTCGAGGGGGTCGCAGCAGTACAGGTCGCTGACGGTTCCGGAGCTGACGCAGCAAATGTGGGACGCGAAGAACATGATGTGCGCGGCGGACCCGCGGCACGGGAGGTACCTGACGGCGTCGGCGATGTTCCGGGGGAAGATGTCGACGAAGGAGGTGGACGAGCAGATGATCAACGTGCAGAACAAGAACTCGTCGTACTTCGTGGAGTGGATTCCGAACAACGTGAAGTCGTCGGTGTGCGACATTCCGCCGACGGGGCTGAAGATGTCGTCGACGTTCATCGGGAACTCGACGTCGATCCAGGAGATGTTCAGGCGAGTGAGCGAGCAGTTCACGGCGATGTTCAGGAGGAAGGCGTTTTTGCATTGGTACACGGGGGAGGGGATGGACGAGATGGAGTTTACGGAGGCGGAGAGCAACATGAACGACTTGGTGTCGGAGTACCAGCAGTACCAGGACGCGAGCGCAGAGGAGGAGGGAGAGTACGAGGAGGATCTGGAGGAGGCTTAGGTAGGATTGGAGTAGGAGGGGTCGGGTTAGGATACGGGGATGGTGTGTTTGTGGGTGGGTGCGCTATAGAGGTGCGGGTGATTGGCTGGAGGCTGAGAGGTGTAGCTACGTTTGGAAATGAGAACGTGTGTTCTTGTGTACACTGAGACGGTGAAGGTGTGAGTGGATGAATTTGGGTGCGACCAAGGTGCAGTGTTTGGATGGGGAGTTGTCAGGGCGTGCACTTTGGTGTTCGGGTAGGTACATAGAGCAACTGGCGTCGTTTCTTCTGGATGTTATGTGGTGGTGGGTTTGTTATGCACGCGGCTTGGATTGCAACAGTCCCCGACGCTGTTTTGTTGGATATGGGGTTGTAGGAGTGGTGGGGTACGGTGTGGGTGTGTTGTGGATGGGCGGTGAAGGGGCTAGAATTGTTTGCAGGAGTGCTATTTTTAGCTGCAATGTTTGTTTTGTAGATCATTCCCTCCCTGGTCGAATGAGGAATCACTAAATTGGGCCTGACACCTTCGTTGCGTGCACAGTCATGGTTTGTGGTAGTTTGTCGCGCTTTGTGGGGGCTGTTTTTGAGAGCAGTGGTGGTGTTCATCTCGGCGTGTTTTTTTTTTTTTTTTTTTTTTTTTTTTTTGTGGAACTTGACGACGAAGGTGATGGGAAATGGATTGCGTCGGTGGAGCGTTGGATGAGGAACAGTCATGATTTGCATTGGGGTTTGGGAATGTCGGGGATCGAGTAAGAGGATGAGTGTTGAGTATTGGTTTGGATTGAGCTGTCCAGCTGCCCGGCTGCAGTTTCTTTTGGTTTTACGTGGTTGTGGTTTCAGTCAAACCTTGGATGGGGCAGCTGTATTCCGAAGAGCTTTTTGTTGCTGGAAGGGTTGAATGGATATAGGTTTTGGTGGTTCTGGCAAGTGCGGTGTCGTTATGGTTCTGCTGCGGAGAAGATTTCGACTCGGTAGTCCTGGGGTGTAGTGGCATACTTTTGTGGTATTCGAGTGTTGGTTTGAGCGACAAGTCCCAGTCGAGTGTTTAACTTGTATTTCGTTGAAAGGTTACCTTCCAACTGATCGAATCGCTGAGACTGTGTCTCTTTTTTACGAACAGGTAGATATTCAGCAACCCATTCAGCATGCTGGAGGCTAGCAATCCGAAGGGAACTTGCCAGATCTCTGAAACGACCGTCACCAGCAGCATTTGGCACTGAAATTATAGCCAATCATCGTCATTGGCAACTCGTCCATGGACGCCATGTTAAACAAGACGAACAGCCCCATGAAATCTGAAAGTCACCTTCACAACTACGCCAGCTTCGTGACGACTGTGTGCCCTACTCTCCACGAATTATCATTGCAATTCAAATAGCTTACTGAGACACAATTAGAAAGAACTTAGTCTAAGCCTGCTGTTTATTATCAGTGGTTGAATTAAGTGAATCCTTCCTAAAAGTGATATACCCTTCGTGAAATCATGAACGGATGGCTTTTGTTGCGTTTTGGTTTTGTTTTAGACTTGAGCACACTAATTTGTCTTTTTGGTTTAATTTTTTAATAACTTGGTTACGCTTCTAAGTCTTTTTGGTCTAATTTTTTAATAACTTAAGCACTCTTCAGTGTGGTCCAGTTTTTGATCAATTTTGGATCAATTTGTTTTAAGAATATTTTATGATATTGGGTTCTATATTATTTAATGTGGCCAAGAACATCATCATAGATTACAGTGAATTTCAGTCTTCCATAACTTTTTTGTTCTTGTCAGGTGGATAATTTCCATGGAAGCAATTTGCAAAATCAAAACAATGGTCCAAAATTACTTTTGGATTAGAGTGTGGTCTCTTACTAGTTCCAAAGTTGAATACTGTATTTGTTCAAATTCCTTAGAAAAGCCAGAACTGGAAGTTGTACCTCCTAAAGTGTTCCTAATGTTCAACTATCTAAGAAATGTTTTGCATATTGATTGATGTATGGTTAATTCAATGCTTTGGTGAAGTGTTGTAATTTTGAATAAACAATGATGTCTAAACATGAATAGAAAAGACAATATAAGAATATAAATAAAACAAGTAAACTTTCAACATGTATATGTATTTATATATATACATGTATTTGTTGTAACGTTCTAAGTTTTTTTTTTTTTAATGAAACATGGAACAAGTTTTATTAATATGTTGTAATATATTCTCATTTAAATGTTTTTATTGATTTTGACTTAGTAGCCACATTACATTGTAAGAAATTTGGTAAAGGAATCTATTTAATAATTGTAATCATTCATTATTATTGGATCAAGCCAAACAAACTTACAAAATACCTTTCCAATATGCATATTGTTAAAATGTTCTTATTTACCATCTTTTAAATATATAATAGAATTTTATTAGCATAAAATTTACACCATCTAAATTTAAGAATTGATTGGAGTTAATAATAAAATAATTTAGTTGTTTAATTATAATATCAACATATAAAATTTCAAGAAAAAAACATGGTATTGTTTTTTGTTTATGCCAACTATAATCTAGTTGTATAATATTAATTTTACCTCAAAACTTTACAAATTCTTGATTACGTCTTTCTTTCACAAAACGATTTAGCAACTTAATCTTGATTCTAAAAAGGAATAAACCAAAGGATACTTGCTTGATCTTGGAAACAAACAACATGATCTTCAATAGCTTTGAAAATCTTAGTAGATCATTGTTAACAATCACTTATTTATGGACTCTAATGCAAACAAGATGAGAAGCATCAAGAAATTTGAAGTCCACAAATAGGACAACATTAGCATTATACAAATGTTGTGTTGACATTTATACTAGAAATTTATATTCTTGATATTGGAATAAATATTAATGCATCAAGAATGTGAGCTGTGCATTTCTAACTTGTCATCTAAGCTCTTGGAATAACAGGCAAGGAAGGGATAGAAGTTTTTAAAGTATCTAAAATTAATAACATACATACTATTTTAGTAATAATTTTTTTAATTTTTTGTATATATTTTGAAAATATATGGCCTTAAGCTAAACACTATTCTATTCCAAGTTTGATTGTGTCTGCTACCATCATATTTTTTTGATATAATTTGCTAAAGATTATTTAATTTTAAAATAATATACCTTCTTAATTCAAGCTTGAGTTGTGCTTCTAAATTTAGTGAGGTAATATGAGTATCTTTCTTGTCTATAGCATGTCATTGTTCTTAAATCTTTAATTGACCTTATGTTGTTGGACTTGTTTGTACTAGCATATAACAAAACCTCTCTTGCATTTCATATCTAGCATTTGCTATCTTGATGTCAATTGAATAACTATCTGATTAGTGATATGTTCAACAAATTAAAAGAAATTATTCTTTAAAGGAACTAAAATTCCAATGAGTTGTCAAAATGGTATTGATATCCAAAAATTATAGAGTAATGCATGCAGTATAGAGCTCCAAATATATGGATGCACTGATGATAAATTGATCCTGTTATGCTTGGATAAATTATCTCTTTATTAGAATACTTTTGCTAGATGATACTTCTTGGATGGACAATTGGGATTTGTAAAATGAGAAATGATTTGTTTACTATTATATACTATAGGATATTTTAATATGATCTCTTACAAATACAAATTAGGCACAAAATAAAAATCATGATGGATAAAGATGATCTCCATGTTTGATAGTGGCTACTAAATTTTCAATGATACCAAGAATACAAGCTTCTTTATTTGGTCCATGGCACATACACATGTGAATTCAAACCAGGAGTTTTTTTAAGAATCTTGTCTAAAACATTGCAACAACTTGATGCACAAGCCAATTTAATTGTAGAACCTTCTCTCTTATTAGAAATCTATAATGATTCTACATAACTCATATTTTGGTCTGAGATCTTAAAACACTATAATAAGCATTGAAAACAAGATTGTTAATAAAATCTAATAAAATTATTACAAAAACATGGTGTATTATGAAAACATGATGGACAATATTTGTTGCAAAAAAAATATGTTGGGAGCCAAGAAAAAGATACTTCTAATATTTTAATTAAGAATTGGATAAGTCACAACTTTTGGTATATATAATATGGAATATTCATCATTCTTCCTTTGGAAGTGGGACTTGATTCTTTACTGAAATAAGACCTAATATATTCCTAAAAGCTAGAAACTTATCTCTAAAAAAAGATTTTGTGAAGATGTCTATGGCCATCTACTCTATAGAACAATATTCCAAATTAATCTATCCTTTCTTGATACATTACTTAATAAAATGATGTTTTGTATCCCAATGGTTTATACGACCAAGGTGTGCTGGAATCTTGGCAATAGTAATAACATTCTGGTTATCCTCATAAATAAGAATATTTTTTGACTTAAGAATGTCATATTCTTAAGTACTTTACAAAGCCACAAAGCATCTTTTGTTGCAATAGTCAAAGCTATATACTCTACTTCTATTGACAAAATAAAAACTAAATATTGCTTCTTATTTAATCAAGTGATAATTGTCCCGCCAAATATAAATGCATAACCTCCTACTGAATGGTGCATCTCTATACAATCTACTCCATCTGCATCATTATAACCTACAAGTTATAAACTTGTTTCTTTTCTTCTATATTGTAATATCAAATATTTTGTTTCTTACAAGTAACAAAATATTTGTTTGATTCCTTAGTAATGTAAACTTTACAAATTCTTGATTACATCTCTTTTTTAAAAAATAATTTTGGAACTTAATCTTGATCCTAAAAATAAAATAAACCAAAGGATACTTGCTTGATCTTGAAAACAAACAATATGATCTTCAATGGCTTTAAAATCTTCATAGATTATTGTTAATAGCGACTTGTTCATGGACCTAAATTATTTTTTCTTATTCTAGCATGATTTGAAGTATAGAATATTACTTAATGTAATATTCTATCACATTTAGAAATGTAATTGTCTAAATTTTGTGATATATTTACAGGTCTAGAATGTAATGGCTGTTTGTTGGACATATGGATTAGAATAGGTGTGGAATTTTTTTAATAACTTTTTTTTTATATATATATTTTCTTTTGGGATATTGTTATAAATTTTAAGTATTGATGAATGATAAATTTTTGTATTAGAAATAGTCATAATTTTCATTATTATATTTATATTTTAAATTTATTTTTTTCTTATTATATTGTTAAAATTTGTAGAAGTTAGTTACAAAATGAATTCATTATTTTAATTATTTTTTTAAATATATATGCAATTTCTCATTTTTTTTTTTAAAGATACTTAGTGTATATACTGTAAGTGTATGAAAAAAAAAACTTATTAGTTATGCATTCTACAATTGAAACCATGATTCTAATATTTAAATGGATTATATATATCTTTTATCTATTCTAAGCTTTGAATATATTTATTTTTAAGAAAAGAGAATGAAATTTTTTAAATAGATTCGATTAAAAGCCTAAGGATGCATTGATATCTAAAATCCTAGACAACTAGGCTCTTAGGATTTGAATGCACTAATGAAGTATAAATGCCAATATGCTTAGTATAAATACTATTTTTTTTAGTATTCAACTATTGGATGTTGTAACTTGAGAATGGAATAGGGTTTATGAAGTGGGAGGTATTTTATTTGATATCTTTGAATACATGTGGGATATATTATTGTAGTATCCATGAAGAATTGTTAATAAATGAGAGTGATTTATCATCAAAGTAAATCATTACATATAGAAATTAATTTTAAGCTATAAATAGTATATAATAACTTAATTAATTTCATCTATAATAATTTATGAAGATAAAAGTAGAAGATAAGGGTAAGCATGGAAAATGACATCAAGACAGGTTGATGATTCCAAAATCCTTTCTTTAACAACAAAGAGAATAAAGCAATCAAAGAAAAGAACAGAGAGATCGCTAACAAGAAATTTGTTGTGTAACGAGCAAGATCGCAAATTAAAAAAGAAGCATCAAAAAAGTTGGATTAAGCCATGGTTGCATGCTTGTCGGCATATTCGATCATACCCAGAAGATGATCAACCTCTAATATTTCAGAAGTACATACTGTTAAAGAAATTACCAAGAGCACTCGCGGGGAGCGCTGCTAATAGTCCAGCATACCTCTCGAAGCCGTTAATGGAAAGCAAGGAAGGCACAGAGGAATTAGGTACTCCATTGGGTATTTTTCCAATTGGAGATACGTCCAATTCTAACAAGACTAGTTCTGAAGATCGACACAAATCACTTGCCAATAAAGACCAATTCAGAGTATACCAAAACCTATCATTTTCACCTCATATTCAACCAGTAAAATTATTTGGGGATAATAATAGTCAATTGGGAAGGCTTGGAAGTCCGAAAAAGATTTTTACGGGAGACAGTTTATATTTTAATAAAGAATTGAGTAAAACACCGACATCTTTAATGGCGTCCGAAGGACCAGCAGTTTCGATTGCAGTTCAAATGAGTGCAATGGGCGATTGAACGACTAGCGTTACGCCATTACTTACTTTTTGGAGTTTGCCAAGTGCGGATCCAGATCAACATTTGTCTCAATTCTTGACGATGTGTGTAGCCAATAATGGCAGAACTGAAGA